TTGACTCACGTGGAAGGAAGAAAAACATACATGCATGCATACATTTTTGTACTGTAGATATTTATATGTATATATAGCATTCGTATTCAAGGCAATACAAAGAAACTCTTCACTAATGTAAATAGAAAATAGACTAATGAGTTATTTTTCTTTTGAGACTGTTTTCTTAAAACATCTATTGTTTGCTTACTTCCTCAAGTCTTTTTTACAACTATATTATGAAAGTCTGAGTTCTAATATAATTTGTTTTATAAACAGTAAGTTTAATGCTTTTCTTTAGTTAAGCAGGTATGAACTTGTAGAGTATGCAGACAAGGTGGCACATGCCTATTTTTAATAGTCTTGAAGAAAACATCATCTTACAATAAGGGTGACTCATCTAGAAATGTGGTTAAGATCAGGCTAATACAAAACATCCTAAAAAATTTCCATTAGGACTGCTGCCCTCAGGGTAGGTATCTTTGAACTCTAGTTCCAACATGTAAACTTTAAATGGCGCGTCTCAGTAGAACTTTGTAACTTAGAGTTTGACTCTCCTCCTTTTTCTTTTCTTAAGGGCTCTTCTGCAATAACTTTATGACAAGAATGTGTGTTGGCAGATTGGATATTTTGCACTTACATTTGGCTAAATATCTGCTGATGTAGATACGATTACATTTTGGAAGTGTCAGAAAAAGAGATTGTAATGCCTTCAAATTGGTTCTGACTGTTGGGAGCTACATACTATATTTTGTGTTATATGAAGAACCCATATGACTTTTTGTAAAAAAAAAAAAAAAGAAAAAATTACATAAGCCTTGTGTATCAAAGGACATATATGTCATTCGGGGTAGGCTGCGGTTTCACAGGCACGCTCATTAATCAGTGGCTGTTCTCTGCTGTGAGGCAAAGAAATAGACTGGCAGGAGGGAAGGTACTCCTGAGAATAGTTTTGTCAGGTGAAAACAACCCTCTTCCTTGTCTTCTACCACACAAGCTTCCTCTCTTTCTTGTATGCTAATATTGGTAGGGGCAGTGTCAAATTTGGCTTTTGGTTTTTGTGGCTACAGACAAATGTGGAATGAATAAACAGAAAATTGGTAGATATTTTTGGTTACCTATGTTATACAAATAACAACTTCCATTCATTCTGTTGAGCATGAATGAACAAAATGCTTGGCAGTACTTGTTTCATTGTTCTTGTGTTTACAGTGGTAAACATCTCTATTATGAGATACTAAAAATGCCAGGGAGAACCATACTGACTTTCTAGATCAGTCAAGCCATTGCTGTGTAGAAAGTGAAAATGGAATTCTGATAAATTAATTTACTATTTTGAATTCACTGCAGTCTTCAAAAGTATTTTGATGAACAGGATGTGCTTCCAAAATAGTAGGAATTGTAATGACAGACCAAGAATGGCATGGTATGAACATATGTTTATGGCATGGTATGAACATATTTTTACAAAAACAAATGTATGTATACACATATATGCGCAATTAAGAGAAAAAAATTACATCTGTAGGCTAAAACCTATTTACCACTCAGATGCCTTTTTATTCTTATGGTATTAATTCCCTAGGATATGGTATTTACGATCTGTATTCAAACAAAGTATTATTTTAATTGCTGTTTGTTTGTGGCATGCTTTTCAGGGTAAACTTTTAAGTCAGTTGTTAGAGTATACTTAATATGTTATCTAAGACAGGTAGTTCCTTAAACATGCACACATTTTCATTTATAATTTTGGGTGAGATCCCAGAATAAAGACTGTAACAGGTGTTACTGAATAACAATGTGATCTAAAGCTTTCAGGATATGAAAGAAGGGCACAGAAAAATTGAAAATTAACTTTTCTGCTGGAGAGTGCAGGAAGTTTAATGGAACAGATTCTGAAATCTTGTATCTGCTTTATCTTTAATGAAGTCAATTCCTCTCCCTTTCCTGATAGAGAAGTTTAATGTTTAACCTAACAGAATTCCATAAAGTTTTAATTATTTTTCATTTTATGCAAAAAAATATCCTCTGAGTGGATGTTAAATGTGATGCAGTATGGGGAGGGTTACTCCATAATCAAGTATGGCTGGGAAGAAGCCGAGAATAAATGGGAGACATGTATTGGGAAGAGGAGGTTTCCAGGGAAATAATAAGTTTAAAGTAAGTAGAGCGCGAGGAAGCCAAAGCAAGAGAGAGATTTTGATAGGTAATGTAATAATGAGAGGAAAAAAAAAAAAAAAAAGATTGGGCAGATGGAAAGGAAGGTATGGTGTGAAAGTAGGGAAGAAAAGTGGACCAGTGGTGCATGGTGGGAGGGCAAGAGGTAACGGGCAAAAACTGAACCAAGGGAAGTTCCAGCTCAATAATAGGAAAAATTCTTTCACCATAAGGACAGTTGAGGAGTGAACAGGGTTGCCTGGAGAGGTGGTGCAGTCTCCATTCTCAAAGGTTTTCAAGAG